CTGCCCCCCCCCCCCGGCCGGATGTAGTTGCTTTCCTTCGTTCCATGCTCATCATGACAACGTGCCATCACACGATCACACGGACGTCATCGCACTCGCGCGAGAGACACGATCTGCTTCCTCTCTTCCGGGTCTTGGGGGTTGATCGACTACCTTAAGTGGCATACGAAGTACTATGAGATATCGCACCCCCTGGGCCAATTTTCAAAGCTCGATTACTCCACCACGACGAGGATGTATAAATCAAACGAAATGTCTTAGGAAAGCTCTCGATGAGAGATGGTCCCAACGCTGTCATTGTCGGAACCGTCACTCCCCTTGCTGTGGAGTGCTCGAGTTTCGAATATCGGTCCATGCGGTGTGCTATCTTGTGTCACCTGCGGTACCCCCCCCGCGTGGTTCTCACACGGACGTCATCGCACTCGCACAAGAGACACTGTCTGCTTCCTCTCCTCTCCACCTTGGGATCGATTGACTACCCCATAAGTGGCAGTTTCTACATTCGTGTCGACCAATCTCTAGCTCGGATCGTGGGATCGGAGCTGCTGGGAGAGTGAGTGGGCCACCAGAAAATGATGACTGCCTCCCTCTGTCCTGCGTATTCTACTTATTGGCTAGGATCGCCTTCCTGAAGGTTCTGGTAGAGAGGGTTTTTACTATAGTTTGTCCTAACCCCCAACCCCACCTCGTACCCCCTGCTACAACCAAGCTTAACATCATCGCAAAGGCTACTGATTGACTATCCCCCCGGTTCTCTGGCGGCTTGTTTTCGGGCGTGACTGCTGCTGTATCAGACGTGAACAAGGCGTTCTTGACGGGGGAGGCGAAGTACATGTCGACCGGGAGGGGCTTCGTTATTGTGCACGACCGCTTCTTGTCGCAGTACTGCCGCTACCTCCAGAGTCACTTCGCGCCGGCCTTCGAGATAATGCTCCTGCTCATAGTAAGCAATTCATATGGGGTGGGCGAAGATGAAAAGGTTTCAACTCGGCTGTGCAGCCTCTGCGCAGATTTCTACCCTGCATCTTTGCTTGCACGCTCAAGCCTCTTTGTAGCACTTCTTCTACTGTCCATGGTCCTGTGTAAAGGTCGTGCTGCAGCTTACGGCCCCGCTTGTCTCGGGGGCAGTAGGAGAGGGCAGCCTGGTGCTGTTGCGCGAAGCAGACAGCGTGTCTTTGTTGTTGATAATTCTCCTGCTCACAGTAAGCTGTTTTGTGTTCACGGCTATGTTTTGTTTGTGATGCTGGTGCTATCGACTCCCTTTTGCTTTCACGCGGCGTGGAAAAGAATGAACAATGACCCGACCGGCAGTGGTTTTGGGAGCGATGCTCTCTTACATGACGGCTCGATGACGCCAAATGCATGTTTCGATGGAGTTTCACATCTCCTCGCAGTTTGGGCCTGACCCCTTTGTCGCGCTGCTGCTCCCTCTCCTTGACGTTAATGGAAATTTAGGTATACTGGCATTTCGTGTCCAAGCAGACGGGCTTCCAATACTTTGCCGAGACCTTTTCGGTCTGGCTGCTGGTGAGGGCCCGCGTGGTAGCCGGCTGCTTTGTGCTATCTTGTATTTTTGGTCACGTCTATGTTTACACCTGTCGATTTTTTCGGTATTCTTTCGAGTACTGTAGTGACATTGGCGCCATGCATATTCTTTCGAGTACTGTAGTGACATTGGCGCCATGCATATGTTGATCCTTTTCTTGTCCAACACCGTTGTGGCGCCCGTGGTGGTGCAACCTGTTGGCGACGACGCCGTTCCCTCGGCGAAGATATTTTCGGCATTTACCAAAGGCGATTGATCGCAACTGTTTTGCGGTCCATCTCTACGAACGGAAAAGCCTCTTCTCGTGACGAACCGCTAGCAGACTTGGAAGCGGGCACACCAGTCGATCAACAACACTGTGGTTGAACCGTCTCTCGTGTTTTTTCCTCCCCCGCAGCCCTCCGGCTTTCGAGGCATGTCCCGTGAACGATGATGGTCCCGGTACTCCCACAAGAGTTGTATTGATACCGCCGT